AAACGACCAACAGAAGAATGCCCGAAGACGGCTGGCCGGATGAAAACGGCTAGATATCCGAGGAAACTGACGGAAGTAAGAGGAGTTGAAGGAACTCGAGATGGAAATGAAAGGGACCGATCAGAGATGGAACGACGAAGGCGAAACGTGCCGGACAGACTTTTCTTTGAATCCGGCGAGTCGCGACTCTTTTACGGCCGTTCTCCAAACTGGCTTTTTTAATTTATTTTTCACGCTCGAGGAATCGAGTGGGCGACACGCTGCAGTTTCCACACGGACTTTGATTCGTTCTGTTAAAAAAAAAAAGAAATACGGGGCACAGAAGATCGAGATTTTGACTAGTTTCGTTTCGGTTTGTAGTACAGTAGTGGTTCCTGTTTTTCTCAACTTGAGAATTCATTTTTCAAGCAGCAATTAAATTATTATTATAAAAGCTAGAAATAGTACATAGAATTTTCTCTGAAATTTTGTATTTTTTCAAATTTTCTTCAATTATTCGTACTTCGAATAAAGAAACTCTTCTAAAACACAGATCCAAACATTTCTACTAGAAAACATAATTTATTCGTCGATAAATATTCCAGGAGAATTTACTTTGCTTATTTCCTTCCCAGAGGCAAGTGCTCTTTGATTATAGACATTATTTAACCGAAGTTTTTGATTAGCCCGGGAAATTTCTGTCAGTTTGGTGTTCCACAAGAATGATGGAACGAACGAATGGAGGTTATAATTTTCTTTAATGGATAATATTAATCTCGATGGAAGAGTTTTCCAACAAGAATCAGATCAACCTTAAAACTCGCCCGGAACTTGTTGAAAACTCAACGAACTTTAAGAGCAATCAGCAGCAGAAGCAAAGCGGAAATGAACGAAATAAGCAGCGCGACGAACCGAAGCGCAACGAGGGGAAAGAAGACAAATATTTGCTTAATTGGGAAATTAACTTTAATTATCGGGACATCTGGAATATTTTCGTATCCGGCTAATTCCGCGATATTAGAAATTAGTCACAGGTTTCCCTGACGGTTAAATCTTTCGTCGGAGGCATAGTTAGGTGCATAGCTGGTACACAGGCCGTCGTATAACGCCAAAAGCTTTTTACCCCTTGATTCTTCGCGAGCTCTTCAGTATTCAGGACTCATGCGCTAATGCGATTTCGTTATCTTTTTTTCTTTATTTTCGCCCGGGGCTTTCCGCTGCCATTCGCGAAATGCTCCCAGTGACGAGTGAAATGCGTTTGAAGCAGTCGTTCCTTATTCCAACGCGTTTTCCTTTTCCTCAATTTTCAAATCTCTCTCTCTCTCTCTCTCTCTCTCTGCAACGCGGAATCTATTTTTAACGATCACTCGAACGGGGATTCCCGAGCATCTCGAAAAATGCAATTTAAGAATTTTTGTTTCTTTTAAAGGAAACTTCGCGCCACGGGCTTTTCAAACTGTAACTACGTACATATGTTTATTAACCCTTTTCGATTTGAGATTCAATAATGATTTTTTACACTTTATATTTTTATAATATAAAACATATTTATTATAAATGAAAACATTATTGACATTGAAAGGGATGACTACAGTTCTGTGCAATAAATTTACTGACTCCAATCAAAGTAAGTTAATTTTATAGGGTAGACCAGGGCAAAGTGGGACCAAACAAGTTTCGAGAAAGATAAAAGATGTTTTCTTCATTGAGAAAGATTAAAAAACAAATGGAGATCGAATTCTGGAAATATTTTCAAACAAAAAGTGCCCCGTATGTGGGGCACAGAGTGCTACAGTATGGAACAAGGGATGCTTTTAATAGAAAAATGACGTTGAAGAATGCTAAGGCTGACAGAAAATAATATTCTTAGAAACCGTGGAATTCATTCTTTATTGTTTCATATTTATACACATAATAAGCATACGATTATATCGTATTAGGTACTAGAACATATTATATATATATATATATATCGATATATATACATATATATATGTGTGTATATGTATATGTATATATATCGAGGATTCTGTACAATAAATAAAAACTCTAGAGCATTTTAAACATAACATGGCGTACTCTCTGCGATTGCCGTCGAGTGTACAATAATTTAACGAGTTCCCCATATGTATATCATCATTTTCAAATACTCGTCGACGCTACAACAGGCGATTCGATTCGAGGATATATATACAGGACACGAGTTTGTTTCTTCAATTTTTCAAAACGAATTCTAACAGCGCCCGCTTGTTTCACTCGCGTTAAAGGACTCGCACTACACTCGAACGTATTCCTTTACATTCATAAATACATATATCGACAAAACACGTAACTCGCGATAAAAAACTTTAACATGCCATCCGTGAGACATGCAGCTCGATCACGTTGCAAAAGTCAGATCACGTAGTACTACGTTTTGTCGATCGCCTACATCATAACGTTAGTCGTTTGATGATAAATTTATTCCAAATTAATGAATCTCATCGAACTCAAGATAAATTCTAAATCACGTAGTACTACGTTGAATTAAATTTTCTATTTCTTTAGATTAATTTGATCGATTTTTCATAAATTATGGCCACGCTTCAAGAGATTGTATCCCATCGAAAAATCACGTAGTACTACGTTTTGTCGATCGCCAACATCATAACGTTAGTCGTTTGATGATAAATTTATTCCAAATTAATGAATCTCATCGAACTCAAGATAAATTCTAAATCACGTAGTACTACGTTGAATTAAATTTTCTATTTCTTTAGATAAATTTGATCGATTTTTCATAAATTATGGCCACGCTTCAAGAGATTGTATCCCATCGAAAAATCACGTAGTACTACGTTTTGTCGATCGCCTACATCATACCGTTAGTCGTTTGATGATAAATTTATTCCAAATTAATGAATCTCATCGAACTCAAGATAAATTCTAAATCACGTAGTACTACGTTGAATTAAATTTTCTATTTCTTTAGATTAATTTGATCGATTTTTCATGAATTATGGCAACGCATCAAGAGATTGTATCCTACCGAAAAATCACGTAGTACTACGTCCTGTTATTCCTTGAAATGTCGTTCACCAGTTGTTTTTATCTAGAATTTATTCATGCATAAACCAATCGAACAATTTTCAAACTGCATTAGCTAGTTGTCTATCAGTCGGTTGTTTTTGATTATAAGGTAGCTGGTATTTAAATTCGATCGTATAGAAAAATTGGCAAGCATAAAACCTTTATATAATTTAGTACGCTCGAACGTTCGTATCAAAATGGATAGAAAACGTAAGACTGGTGGAATTCAAGGCTCTTATAAAACGATCGCCTCAACGAATCTCGTTAAGTAGAAAAAGATACGTTTAGCGAGTGAATTTCATTAGCGAGTGCGATTTCTGTCGACGACACGGCCGCTTCGATTCAATCGAATCTTAAGTCGCGTCGACCAGTCGCGACGCGAATAACATCTAACAATAAGTTAAACTATTTTACAATCGTACAACGCAGTTTTTTCTTCCTCCCCTCCCGCCCCTCGCGAAGAGAATTATATATCCAGGTAGAATTCTCGCTAATCTGTGGTGTATTTAAAGTCGATATACTATTCTAAATGGGCTCGAGACAGCAGAAAGACGTACAGGATACATTACGAGTTTTTAATAGTTTCATCGTCGAACACTTGATTCAGGAAGAAATTTTATTTCTACTGAACACGAATATTAGACTTGATCGTTACCTCTATTCGACTTCGAATATAACAAAGCACGTTCATGCTTGAACACAGCGCGTCGGCCATCTTGCAACAGATTCTGTTTTCGTTCAGTTTTCAAATTGCGCGCGAAATAAACGATACGACAGAACCTTTTGAAATGTTCCCCGATAAAGGGGGCAAAATGACTATGCTATTAGGTTTAAAAATTATACAAGGAAAATATACTCGTACGATTGTTAAGATTCGATTATTAATGGAAAGAGATGTTTAAGTCATCCACACTTTTCTACGTTAAAAATATCTTTTTAAAGATCCCCGCGGAAAACATCGATTTACGCATTCTTATCGATTCGATTTGATAATCCTACCAGTAATCGCCACGTTCGAGACAATTTGCTTGTAAATCGTTCAATTTCGAAGAAATCGTTTACTATTAATATTTCAAAATTTTATTACTATTGAATTTATGAGTTCGATGTATAATGTCGAGGAACAAGATGGAGGACACGATTGTAGTACGAATATAGTAAAGATTATTTACTATAATTTTGATTAAACAAACTCTGAAGCTTGATATTTAAGTAAAAAGATGTGTCGATTACTGATACGTTTAGTCAAATGAATCGTATAATTGACTGACTATTGGATCGATACTCGTAGAACCGACACAAACGTTGTGGAATTGCTATTATTTCCTTAAATCCAGAAACTGAGACACATACAACATGCACTTCTATCTAACGTGACTAATGTTCGCGAGAAGCTCGTTTCTTTTTGAACAAGGATTACCATTGCTGAAAGAGTTGGTTCTCACGTAGCGCGATTAACTCTTTCAGCACAGCGTTATCTGACGTCGAGGATATTTCCAGATGAATTTCATTCTCGTTTCTCCTTCAAACCCGGCCATCGTGCTCTGAGATTTCCTCTTGTTACGAAAAGTATAATAGCAACCATTCTGCTTATACTTATGGACAGTAATGTTCTCTCAAGTATTTTATTTTTAAACGTTTCAACAAATTTTACTCCTCCTCGCGAATGATCTGTGATATTAAACTAAAATGTAAAACGTACCATAATTAAATATTTATAAATTAAGGTATATTTAATTATCAGTTAGTATTATAGTAATAACAGGTACGCGCTCATTAGAAATAAAAAATAATAATATAAGTCCACCTTAAATTGAAAAATGTGAGTAATAAATTTTAAATTTCATTTTTTCAAAAACAAAACCTCTGTGAAAAAAATTTGCAATAATTTTACAGATAATTACTGTATTTTAGAATTATATTATACAAAATTGTATAAAAAATAAATTGATCGAAACGTTCAAAATTAATGCTTCAAAGAACATTATTTAATAATTCTGTCATACTTGGAAATAACACAAATGCTTTATTGTGCTCGTATATCTTGTCGTTCGATCACCACAGTGTTAAATTAATAGAACTAATTAACAAAAACACAGGAAATACAGCAATTCCCGAATAACTGAAACGACATCAGACCCTCGGGGTTTCAGTTATCCGAGAACGGTCGAATTTTAGACATAGGAGTAATATCGATCTAATAGATGATGTTTCTTCGATGGAAATGAGTCCAAACATGAATATATTTTTAATTATTCAAATCATCTCTATGAATTTTCAAACAAAAATTTGTGTTTGGACTCATTTTCACTGGGAAATCTTTACCAATTCAACGATGGTACACTCATAAAGGTACTACATATGATAATGATAAATATAAAAATATCAATTTTTATTAATGGTGAGAATATAAACAGCAATGGAGATATTTGCCTCGAGTTATACGAAAAATTGTATCGATCTTTCGATAATTGCTGTATTTCCAGTTTCTATTAACTGATCTGTAGCTGAAAGAGCTAATCGTCGTGGCGTCGAACACTCGCTATAGCGTCCAGGATAAAGAGAGGTCGTAAATTGCTTGAAATATCAAAACAGATACGTATCGACTGCCGAGACAAATCAAGTGACTCGGGTCAGGACCGTAGAAAGAAATCTTTCACCCGGTGTCGATGTATCTACTTACTATGTACTCACGATAAATCGATGTCTGGAGAAATTTACGACCTCCCTATATCGTGAAAGCTACAGCACAAAGGAACCACTTAACCTGTCTTCTTCCGGATTTAACCCACTTTGCAGAATGGTAGGTTATAAGATTCTGTTGCTCTGATCATTCTGGGGGAAGAAATCAGCTCAAAACAGGTAATCAGTCAAATAGCGAGACAGGTATTTTACTTCAAAATAAACGGCTCAAATGCTAAAAAATGCAGGAAAAGGAACCTTAACAAGGTTGCCAGGGATTTTAGGGACTTAAATACACTACGATATCAATATTGTACTTTGGTTCGTTCTACAGTAAATTATTTGGCTCTCAAATTTGGCCTCCTTACTTAAATTGCTACGATTATACACTGGGAAAGATTCAGCACAAATTCCTGTAGGAATTTCTTTGGCATTATGTAATCCTGACTATGTCAAAATAGTAAGTAAAACTAAATCTTTGGTGCTAAAGTGAGCATCTATGGATAATCTACTGGTACCTAGACCAACTAAAAAACACAATATTGTCATCCAAGGGATTTACAATGTGCATTTACTGCCTATGATGTTGTGTAAATTAATAAGTTCTATGAGCAATTGGATCAAGTCATATTTCAGAAACAAGTTTGTTCAGTATTGATGAAAATTATTATTGTTATTACCAATAAACATAGACGTACATTGCTAAGAAGAAAATAATTTTTAAATCAAGGAATATAGAAATTTCGAAAAACAAAAACATCTGTTAGCATTCTGTAAGAGCGGGTTAAAATTGGAGGCGATAAGTTAGGTTAGGGTTTCACCATGAAAGTGTCATGATTATCGAAGATGCATGCGGCTGGACAAGAGTAGAGTTCGTTTCAGCCGTAAAAGAGAATTGATCCTGCGAATATCGAGAGAGTCATCGAAAGAAATGCGATCACAGTGCCCGATGGAACGGAATTCTATCGAGAAACAAAGATTGGAAGCAACAGATTTCGAACGAAAGACCCCGTGTCTCGTTCGCGTTTTTCGTTCGACGAGATCGTTATTACGATTGCGCCGTGGAATCGGCCATGCTCGTGCAACGGACACGAGACGCGAGATCGTTAGTTGCGTCGGCAATTAAGGGCATTCTTCCGCGATCAAAAGAGGACCCCCCGAGTACTGATATCGATTACGTCGTTAAAGACCGTTTCTCGACAGATGCTCCTCAACTATACCATCCCCCCCTCCAGCGAAAATCGGTTTTCGTCCACGTTTCGAGAGCAGATGGAAGTAAGATTCGTGTCGATTCCGATTGATCGTGACTCGAACAGTTTCCCCAGACGTTATGCAAAATGGAAACTGGAGAAATAAACGCTTCTACCGATAGTTGGCTAGCTGTCTTACGATCAGAACCTTGCACGTATCGCGATGATTGCACACATCGTCAGAAGCAGACCTTAACCTAACAGAAAACACGATAGACTTTTCAACGATGGTTCAGCAATTTTCCCGATAAATTGGATCCGATCGTTTGAAAGATAGTTTCAACAGTTTGCTTATTTCGCAAGCAACGCTCCATAACGATTCTCCTCGCGATTACTTAATTACTCGTCGTATTCTACGACCGGCCACTACCAGGAAACGAGTAGAACGCTGGAGGATAAGATGCTCATCAACGTCACCCAGCCGATCAGCTCGAAGGATCCTCTTCTCCAGGGGGCGTAGTTCATGCAGGTTTCCCGGATGTTCGCGATGTTCAGCCCGCGACGACCGAGCAGATTGTGGACACCTCGTTTGTCGCTCTTTTGGAGGATGTGCTCCCGCGCCAGCAGCAGAGAGTACAGTTGATTGTCGGGTCTACCTGAGCAGAAGGTCAGCACCATGTCGGAGGCCACGGCCTTCATCACGTGGACCTTCCCGGTGAACTGGTTGTACTGCCTGTCTCTCGTACTCGCCAGCGTACCTGTTGACATCATCAACTTCGATTCATTCTCTTACAGATACATATATGCACTTATGTTGCCTGCACTGATACCATAAAGAGATCACTTGTTGCTGAAACCCCCACTCCATATCCACCAAAGATACATTTTTCTTCTATTCATGGCTAGTGGTTGGGATTTTTTGGATAACTGGTACAGCCTTATCCAAGGCTTGGACTTCGAGGTGGAGAGGAGGTTAACGCGAAAATGCGTTTTGTCACTCGGTCTGGGGTAGCAGAACAAACGTTGCATTCGATTTGGTTTTTGGAATTCATTCGACATGAATTTTTCAAAGTGAATTTCTATGAATTACACGTAGAATATTTTCGATGCACTTTCAGGAATCGGTAGAAATGACTTCGTAAACAATATCGCGGGAAGAAAGTAGTAAACATTAGCAAGAGATTGCTATAATGTTATCCGAATTTTCGGTACAAATACCCCACGTGTGTCGATAATATTTTAATCATTTTTACATTAAATTACTAACAGAGCCAGGGATATTTTCCAACAGCTAAATTTATTGTGATTATCATCGTGCTTGATTCATCCCCCCAATAATACGGTTCTCGAAGGTTTTTCTGTAATATAAATGGTATTGGAAAACGTAGAAGGTTTCTACTTCTCTGCATACGTTGGAAATTATTGGAACATTTACATATATGGTTTGAAAAATAATATCGTGACTGCATTATCGTTGACGTCGGCACGTATCACGGATAAAACGTAACGCGCGTTATTAGTATGGAAAATGACTGTCACGCGTCCAGTACGTGCCAATCGCAATAACGTCGATGCGACGTCCCATCGCAATATTGCAGCGCCGTCCATTAAACTGTTTCGCTGTGTAAATGGTCACTAGTTCGAAGATATTGACGTATAATAGCATAAAATTAATTGTAGCCATTGTTCAAACGCGTAAAATTCGTTAAGAGATATGGGAACAGTATTTTTGCATTTTCTGTTCATTTCTACTATCAAATATTACTTATTATACATACTGTCACGGTATCTGTCGTAATACAAGTAGAATAGGGATTACTTTTTATATTTTTGAAAAGTAGTATTTTCGAAATCTATTGGTTGTGTGTGTAGGTCGAATTATTCTTAATTTCGTTTTAATGGATTTCGACTAAATCTCAATGAGTAACTAGAACATTATGCATTTTCTCACATATCACGAAAATATCTTCCGATTCGTTATGAAAATTAGAAAGGCGGAGAACTGAAAAGAAATCGACAACGGAACTTTAAACGTTAATAACATTTTAACGAAGCCTCGATCAACAAATTGATGTTCTTGATTTTCGTCTTATTTTGAGATTATCAAATTTCGTACGAGTTTCATCAAAATATTGCATCCGTGGCGTAAATAAAAAATGGTAAATGCGAATCTTTAAAATGTCATAACTTCTGAACGTATTGAAGGATTTTAATGTTTGAAGCGGCAAATAACGCGTATTTTGGTGAAGAATATGTAGGCATTATAACAATAGTGAAAAAGTTGATCCTTAATCCCGTAAAGTTAGAAAAACCCCATAAAAATGGTCCAATTTTCAAACGGCCATAACTCCTACAATAGTGAACATATTTCAATGAAAATTTTTTCTAAAGTAGAGCTCATCGGTGCCTATAAAAAAGTATTAGACATTTTTTCTGTAGAGCGTGAAACAAATTTATTAAAAATGAAAAACAATTTTTTAAGAAAAATCAACCAGGGGGTGGTGTCTAAATTTTTCGACGACAAAAAAAATTTCAAATCGTTCTGAAAAAATTATTTCTAGCTAAGGGGGTCAATTACAATTATTTTTGGTGAATAGACATACCCCCGAAATCCTACACAGTTTCGAAAAAAAATTCAAATAAATATATCGCGCATAGCACTTTTTTTTCCGTGACTTATTTTTGCTTTTCTTCTTGTATACAACTGTTCTGCTCAACATAGAAATGTTTAAAACCATACAATATAGTTATCTATTAAAGAGAATACAAAAATTCAAAGTATAAGATGCTTTTTCTCGCGAAAAACGTCGAAAAAATCGGTTTTTGATTTTTCCTACTACGGCGCACCCTAGCAAAAAATCTGAAAAAATTCAGGGAGATAACCAATGACAATACGCATTTACAGTAATTATAGAAATCTAGTGTCTCGAAAGCTTCAAAACGAAATCCGTATTTTTCTGTGTTTTTTTGCGTTTTCAATTTTTCACACGTAGGATTTGGAATCGAAAAATCGAACAAAATTCTCAAACACGTATCTCAATAACCACAATGCACCAGATTTTTTTCATAATTTTTGTACTCGATTAAATAGGGGAAATAGGCAGAAATTCGTTGATCCGAATTATCTCAATAACTATCCTTCCATCGTATGTCACATTTGGTTCAAGGGCACATTTGACCCCCTTATTCGGCTATACCCTTTGGAATATATGCATACGTTATATGTGGGAGAGTAAATATACTAAATATATCGCTTTCTATAAATCAATTATGTTGGCGCTCCTGTTAAAAATTGTTATCTCGGTAAAAACTGCAAATAACGAACAGATAAAAATGTAATATATCGGAAAATAAAGTTTCAAGAAAAATACATCACTACACCGGAATAAAAACCAATTTCACAGTTTTAAAAACTTTAATTCGATGTTGTAATTCGAACTGCCATCACTGCTCAGAAAAATAACCATATAATCCGACGCATAGTTAAATTTTCTTGGTAGAAACGCGGCGAAACGAACAAATTATGAACAAATATCGTGAATTTACTTATTCTATACTCTAAATGTTACATAAAAGTTTGCACTGATTGCCTCTAACCGGACAACTGTTTCTAATTTACAGACAAGCTACCGCGAAACATTAGTGAACGTGTTAAATAATTCTTCGCTCTCCATTCGATAATTATAGACACGTTGATATTAATATTAATGTTCCATTCTTTCGATCAAGTTCTATTTCAGCGAAGTTTCGAGGCTCGTCTTCCATTCGAAACGACCGGGGACGCAATTTATTCCCCATAATCGTATCGCGAACGAACGCCTCGTTCCATTTTCCAAACACCGGGGGAACTCGTGAAATAAACGTGTTCGAGCAACGAGGAACATAACTTGACGGGACAAATTTCGTGTTCAGAGTCGAACGAGGAGTGGGGGATTTGAAAAGAGCTTCGACAGATCTTGATTCCCGATGCATTGTGCGGGCATTCGTGGCGTTCGTTCGTCGAGGAATCGGCGGGAAGAATAGCTCCGCGAAATTAAAAAAAGGAACAGGAACCACCGAGGGGCTTTTTGAAAAATTATTTTTCGCCCCGATGATCGCGTGTCGATTTTACACGAGTTTTTCCCGCCACCCTTCCTCCACGTTTCCACCACATCCGTAATTAAAAGGGACGCCAACGCCAGCAGCGCCATCTTTGTTTCGTTTGTCGATTACATTGTTACTTTGCTTTGATCATTTTTTAAACAATTTTCTTGCGTTTCTAGCATCTCCCAAATCACAGAATACTGCTCTCAAGTATTTTATTAATCATTTTCTTTTTTATGTGTTACGTATAAATTGTAAATATGTTTGATTTAAAGATCGATAATCTTTTCTATATTTTTTTTTTGTCCCTCGACAATTTGATTACTGATCGTTAAATAATAAAATAACAAAAATTGCACTTGATATGCATCCTGTTTGAGAAATGATTGAGATTTGGCAGCCTAAGTTATCTTCTTTATCATCTTCCCAGTTACATTTTAACCGCGAACGTATCAAGTGACCGTAGTGCATTAATTATTTAACTGTGTTTTTGTTTTCATCATCGTCTTACAATTTCTGTAATCTCATCATAATATTTCAATCAATTCATTAATTCTATTAATAAAAATATGAATCTGTATAAAGATCCACAGTGTAGTAATTAGCCAGTGAGTTTCTGAATCACTGTAAAAAATAATAGAAAGAATGATTAAAAAATCTTTACTGTTAAATATCTTGGAAAGAATTGACCATCTAAAATGACGTTAGTAGATGAATTAAATAAGTTTCGTTAAAAAGTAAGCGCCACGCTCCATGTGGTTTCCTTGTTAGCCGCAAAGTAGAATAATTCAGACCTTGGCCAGATCTTAGTTAGAGCAACTTAGTCGTGAACTAGCTTAACCCAATTCTTGTTTGCAATTAGAGCTACCACAGATCAGATTCCATAAACCTCGTTATGTAAACTTCGTCTTGGAAATGTTCTGTCGACTGTGTTTATCTCTGCACTGTTTCCAGTGCTCTTAACTTCGTTTTCGCTTTGTTTAACTCTATCTGATCGCGTTTGGTCGGCTCGTCGATCATCAGAGCTAGCAAAGCTAACCAGACACGAAGATTCGAACTGACAGCCGCTGAGAACAACTTTTACGGTTGCAGTTTCATTCAGACGCTATCCTAAGCGTCTATATGTGAAAAGAACACACAAACTCTAGAAAACTGAAAATATTTATCTGGAAATCGCTCGATGGTTTCCTTCGTAAACCTGTTATTTATTATTTCCAAATTCTGCGGGCTCTAAAACTCTATGTTGTTCGTTTAAACAACAAAGAGTCAAGAATCGAAATTCTTTCGGAAGAATTTCACAACATCTTCCCCATTCTTCGTCGTCAAAGGCCTCTGAGACCACTCAAAGAGCGTACGGAGCAGCATTTAATGGCGTGTTTCTAATTTTCTTGCAAGCACAGGCATCCGTCGTTCAATCAAAGCTCTTGTTTATTTCATTCGGTTGCTTAGAGAAATTACTGTTTCAAAAAGTCTCGTAAAATTAGATTCCTCGAGAAAATATCGAGACAAGAAATTATTTAAATATTTTTCGAGCGACACGATTCGTAAATTGAACAAACGTGATTCGCAAATTAAACAAACAAGATTCGTAAATTGAACAAACGTGATTGGCAAATTGAACAAACGTGATTCGCAAATTGAACAAACACGATTCATACATTTAACAACGCGATTCGCAAATTGAATAAACACGATTCATAAATTGAACAAACACGATTCGTAAATTGAACAAACACGATTCGTAAATTAAACAAACGTGATTCTCAAATTGAACAAACACGATTTATAGATTGAAGAAACACGATTCGTAAATTGAACAGACATGATTCATAAATTGAACAAACGTGATTCGCAAATTGATTATAATTTTGGATGATTTTAAGATTGAACGTTTCAAAATCATGTAGTCGTATAAAAAATCGAGAAATGATAAAAAAAATCACACCAAATCATGACCCATGTGTCCCATTAACTATTAGTGAATCATTATTTCATTGTGGGTATATTTGTATGAAACCACTTTTTGCCGCGTTTTGGCATGCAATGGCCCCACTGTGCGTCGTTTCGAAAATATCGAGACAAGAAATTATTGAAATATTTTTCGAGCGACAGTGAACGAAATTCATCGAAATCCGAATCGAAAAGTTTGTCGAGGATCCACAGAATCTGTAGATTCCCCGTTTTTTGTCGCGAGCTTTCAACGATGGAAGTCGAGTTACCGTTTTGCTGAGAGCTGGAGATCCAGACGCCTGGTTTCCTAGAGATGTCCGGTATCCGGAAGGTGTATTCGAGATTTCCAGCCTCCTCGGTCCATAAAAGCTTCAGCGAGGAGTACTCGAGTGCCCGCAGCTTGACAATCGGACAGGAATCGACGATGTACGATCCGCTTACAGGCTTCAGCGGATCGATTTTGTGCTCCAAAACCTCCACCACGTACCACTTGCCCATTATCTGAAATTAATAGAAGCACACCTATGGATTTATTACGTCCACGTTCGACGAAACGTTTCGATCGAAACTTACGCGGAATTTCAAGGATCCAATGAAATTTTAATGGTCAGTGCCTTAAATATTTTACAGAGGGATGTGTTAACGATTCTAAAGGAACCTTAACATCGCGGGGTTCATGATACGGACGTGACTTCTCCGCTATTTTTCACGATTCGCGACATTTTTAAAATAGCAAAACGGAATGTCTTTGCTATACCAATATTGCATAGAACAGAAATTGCAACACCGAACAAAGGAATGTTAATCTATTGAAATAGAAGGTGCATAAATAGTTTATTAGCCTGAGCTAAACAATGTTAGTATTCGATAATGACCTTCTACGTGTTAACCCTGACCTGAAAGTTAAGGCAGTCGTAGTCGATTGCTATCGAATTTAGGCCTCAGTTCGGTACCACTAAACCGAGCCATTCATTAGATTCCATGAGATGAAATTCCAGCGATGGCGGACCAACCAACGCGTCCCATCGATTTCACCGTTAAATATCGAATCCAAAGTTCTCGAATGCGAGCAAACGGCCGGGATATGCATTAAAGTTAATTTACAACCCTTAATATCAGCTGGCTCGCGAGAGAGACTCGCTCGGTGAGATAATCCAGAGACTTTGGTGTTGGTACAGATAAGTCCAGAAGGTGCTCGAAGCAAATTAGAAGCGATTTATTGGCTAAACGGTCGCTGGTGATCAACCCAAGAGAAATAAAGAGAAATAATATGAATGACCTCAAGATCGCGGTGGATAAAACACTTTTGCCTCGTTTTGCTTCGATAAAACGTAAACGAGGGTTTTTAACAAATATAAAACAAAAGGAAGAATAGAGAGGGTGTACCAGTATCTGTGATGCAACCGGGGAGTTCCCTATTAAAATTGAAAAATAAAATTTTTTCCTTCGAGGCTTCGTTGTTGAAAAAATCAATTTTTAATACGCGTGCACTTAATTGTGGTTTATTGTTAGATGGACGAATCTCGATACAGACATTTATTATGGTTTTTGCTCCTCTGTACGTGTGATATCATCCCCTGAGCACGTACAGTAATGATTCGTGGCGTCGCCACCAGAGGGGTCGCGCTCTCACAAGCGCTCGACCGATCGCGGTATTATGTTTTGATAATTAGTTTCTTCGATAGAAAAGTAAATGTCCTCACGGAACGAAACAAGTATGAACTGTAGGTGTAAGAGTAATTCGCGCGTCAGAAGCGAACATCGAGCCCTCAGAAACGGGTGGCTGGCTTGACGCGCGACGACATGGGGATAATCAGCAAGCGAAATGGACAATGCTTTGCCCGCGGGAGTAATTAAAAGTCGCGTAAACGCGAATCTGGCTACCATGGAAATCTCATTTGCCGCGATTCCAGCCAACGGATGAACGCTCTTCGAACCCCGCGCTATCGACTAGCCTCGTTTTAATGAATGGACAGAACAGCTCGTCACTGCGACTGAAAACAACTCAACTATTGTGTCACTCGAGACCGATGAAATACCTTTTTTACTGATTAATTCGACACGCTTCTCTCGAAATGGTGGAAATCATTTCAGAAGCGAATTCAAAACGCAATAATAATAACTAGACTTTCTGTGTTTCATTACTCAGCGCACTAATCCGTTGCAGTAGCCAGCCAATAATTCTGGCAAAAACAAATTCTGTTCTTCAAAGTCCTACTTCTTTCTCGCAATAATCAAAATTTCATGATATACTGCCCAAATTTTTTACTTTGTTTCTCAGTTGGATTCAGTTTCATGTAATCATTTTATTAACGATAGCTCCGATATACATATAATTCAACGTTACAGATTTTTAATATATTTCGACTGCAGTGGTGGTTCTTTAAATGAGAATGATTCGTAAGTTGAACATTTCTATTCCTTTCAACTGGGAGGATCCCTATTGGAGCCAGTGAAACGTGAAAAACGACATTTGTGATAAACGATACCAAGTGATTCTTAAAATGAACCCTAGACGTGATTCATAAATTGAGCATTTCTATCCCTTCCAACTTAGGAGATCTCTCTTCTAGCTCTGTGACTCGGAGATGGTGGGCCAATCGATATACAATAATGTTTCTTAAAATGAACCCCATGATTCGTAAATTGAACATATCTATCCCTCCCAGCAAGGGGGAGGGGAATCTCTCTTGGAGCCAATTAAACATGAAAGATATCATTTAAAAAACGATACGATCTGAGGTGACAGCGACGATTTGTATAAAAAGCAATGTTATTTTTCTCACTCGCTGTCTTTTTTTCGGTTACTGACTATGCTTGACGTCAAAAGATAAATACAATTTCGAGGCTGAACGATACAGCTCTGTGTAAGAATATGCTTATACTGTACGGAAAGTGAGCATGCTAACTCCATTTTAAGAATCATTACTATGTACATATAGAAAAATGTTTAAAAGTGTGGAATCTGAGAGAATGATCTAATCAACCTTGATGGATAGAGTAAAAATAATATGTTACTATGTTACAGCATGAACGATGTTCATTTTAAGAATCATTATGGTAGAAAGATTTGTTTCATACGACGTCGAGTGGGATGGTGTTAATAGAACAGTATTTGTACAAAGCCTACTGTGCACAGCTCGTTTTCTCGAGCCAACTATCCAATTTCCCTCATTTTCTCGGCAAACGCGTTTCCCGGACTAAAGGTAACGCAATTTAATCCGGCAGACAATTCGGCAAGTTATTTGACAGCAGCCGCTAAAAACACGGCCAGAATAACGCTCGTGTCCGTACGTGAGATAATTAAAATTAACAAATGGCAACGCGTAGATTCGAGCGTGAATATAACCGGTTTGACCGCTCAGAAACGCATAGAAGCAATTTATTGAAGCAGAGATGCGCAAAGTGGGGCCAATCAGAGTCAGGAAAATTTTACTTACGAACGCAGATTCTATCATCCGTGAATTAACTTTTTTGACTAGTTTAACAATATTCGTCAACGAATTCTAATTTACGCGCGAAACGTAAACGGGAGCTAGAATTAAAAAATAATATTTGTTGCCAATACGAGCATTTTATTCAGTTACAAAGGTAATTTTAATGCGACTTAGGTAAACAACGTACGGATAAAATGTTTAAAAAAGTTTAAATACACCTATTTTTGAACGATACAATAGAGCCTGTAAACAAATGTGTAATTATGATTAATCATTCGAGATTGAAATATAGTATCTAATTGCTGTTGTTACTGACTTATTTTATTTGGTATAGTAGGAAATAGGATTGTGGGGGCCGGTGCATTAAAGCAAGACGGTGATGCACACCGAGCGCATTTATTCCGTCGGAATTGCAGAGGAAACGTACCTTTGTCGAGGTTCACAGTCCCGCGTAATTACGTTACGCAGTTTTATGAAAGACATATACTTTCGAGGGCCCTTCGTTAGTCGCGCGGATATTTTGCAATATCGTGTTTCGCGGGCGTATTCATTCTTCCGAGGCGGGGGATGGGGGGTAATTGCACACCCGCTACGACATCTCCCAGTCGTTTGTTTCGGGGCACTAGAATATAATTGCAGGGTGTACCGGTTGAGCTTCAGTGCGGTTCCTCACCGAAGAATAGCGCGGAACAAAGGCTCTCGAGATCAAACATTTCAACGAAGCTTCGTTTCCTCTTTTTTGTTTCGATGCAACCCATGTAGCAGATGTTACAGCCACGCGACACGATACGATCTTTAAATAACTACGGTGGGTTGCTGCAATTAACTATCGATTCATTTCTTTAAACAAAATTCATCCAAATCAATAAGGAAATAGATCGAAATTATTGCTCCCTGGACCACTAACACGTCTTTGCTTATTCAGATTAGTACGGTGATGATTTTTAAAATTAGATTCGTTAAATGATCATTCGTGATTCATAAATTGAACAACGCGATTGGCAAATTGAACAAACAGGATTCGTAAATTGAACAAACACGATTCGTTAATTGAACAAACGTGATTCGCAAATTGAACAAACAGGATTCGTAAATTGAACAAACACGATTCATAAATTGAACAAACGTGATTCGTAAATTGAACAAACGTGATTCGTAAATTGAACAAACGTGATTCGCAAATTGAACAAACACGATTCGTAAATTGAACAAACACGATTCGTAAATTAAACAAACAAGATTCGTAAATTGAACAAACGTGATTCGCAAATTGAACAAACACGATTCATGAATTGAACAAACACGATTCATAAATTGAACAAACGTGATTAGTAAATTAAACAAACGTGATTCGTAAATTGAACAAACACAATTCGTAAACTGAATAAACGTGATTCACAAATTGAACAAACATGATTCATAAATTGAACAAACGTGATTCACAAATTGAACAAACATGATTCATAAATTGAACAAACGCGATTCGCAAATTGAACAAACACGATTCATAAATTGAACAAACATGATTAAATCATCAAAATTTGTTTTCTTTCCAAATTTCGAAAAAATTTCTTAAATTTCTGTTTAAAATTTGAAACAAATGAATAGATTGAAAACTTTCAACCAAAATTAGATAGCCACTGTTTACTAAATTTACATAAGAGAGTCCTGTTATTTTTTAATATACCACCGGTGTTGTATTAGTAAACTTTCAGGAGTACGCGTTGTACATTTAATTACCAGACACGATATGAAAAAGCAACCAGGACCGAGTGCAACAAGAACCATAAAAGAATGCCTCTTTAACGTGTTCGAAACTAATACTCTTTGAATAAATTTAATTTGCGTGCGCAGTCATGCTCGTTTACATCGGGACGCGCGAATGAACGCGTACAACGACGAGGCAACCGTTGAAATATTCCATTCGACGCTGAGCAAATTCGACTGTTCATTACTTTAATTAGTTCACACCCGGCTCTGAAATTACGAGTACTCTGGCGCGACGCAATAGCGAATGTAACAGTAGGAACGTACGCTGGTCAAAGGTTGCGTTTAATGTACAGA